TAGTGGGAGTCCTGAACAATATTTATTATGACCTTTATGCAACCTGTGGAACATCCAGCACTAAATATATCACTGGAAAACCCCTGTAAACTGCAGTCTGTAATCAATCAGTCACTCAACCAATTTGCATGATGTGGCAATGAGTCAGATTATATAAAGTTGACTTATGCCCTTTCTAACACTTTTCCTTAGAAAAAGAGTACCGACAATACTCTTACCATTAATATTTTGTCCAACTTCTGTGTCCGACTTGTCCTCTTCATCAACATTGTCCTCCTCACCTCTCCTGATTCTTTTGAGACAGTTCTACAAGAATTATAAACTTGGTTATGTTGTTCAACCCTTCAGGTAAAGGATGTATTGTTCCAGCTCCAACAATATGAGACTGAGAGATTATAGGGGCACATTTATGTGATACCACTGCTAATTTAACCTAGATCCCCCTCATTGCTCTGTATTATTTTGTTTATGATAACATCAGAAAATGCAAATTACTGAAACAAGTTATACTAGTGCAAGTTCGTCCTGACTGCTGTACCAGAATCCCACAAAGGTAAGCATCATGTAAACTACTTGTTTTGGTATGGAATGAACCTGGATGGACTGGATTGGGTAGTGCATGCATAATTTTTTGTCAATCCAAGATGGGATCAGCTGTTGAACAAGGGACAAGGAGAAAACAGAGTACATTTTTACCTAGCAAAGTGATACAGTCAAATCCTGCTTTACAGACACCCACTTAATATGGACACCTCAATGTTACGGACCATTTGCTTTGTCCCTAGAGAAAGAAAGCCCTTACATTTTCTCCAAACTCACAGGGTGCCAAGAAAGTCAATTTTACAGCTTGCCATTTGGACAAGCTGCAATTAGCACATACTGGCGCAAGAGTCAATTTCACTAGCCGGAAAAGATATGTTGATGAGCAGGATTGATATCAGTATGTTCTTCTGTAATTTGAATCCCCCAAACACTTCACTCGCCCATCGGACAATTTAAGAACAGAATTCACTAGCCCAATAGCAAAATCCACCAGCCCCAAATTATTGGACAGGACTTTCTTTGCATGCTGACTCAACCTGCTCAATACGGACACTTTCTATGGTCCCTTCAGTGTCCCTATTAACAGGGTGTGACTGCACTATAAAATCAAAATCAGCACTGATCAATGATGGGTTGTTTACTGCAAACAAGGCTCTTGGCATCTTGGATTGAATATTTGCTACATGTACTCCTCAGGATTTTCTCTGGAAACTTAACAGCTTTTTCCTTGCCATACCTGAACAAGCTTTTTGTTGCCCAAATTTTCTACTTGATCTACAACATCTGTGAACGGAAACTTTGGAAACAAGCGATGCGCCCAGTGTTCATAACGCTGCATCAGAAGCTTGAGATCACTTGCCTGAGAAAAAGAAAACTCAGTGAAACTTCTCCACAGTTAAAACTTCATGCTAGTCTGAGATGTGAAAATTGATTAGCAATCAGTTTTCTTGATAACAGCTTTATGACAACTTTTACAAACAAATTATGACACTTGACTCATGCTGCTGTCCTTCTTACCTCATGTCCTTTGCCTTTGAACTTGATACCATCACAAATATGCTGTAGAGCAGGAATTCCACGATCACTACACAACCTATGACGTTTAATTCAGGTTTTTAACACTTCAAAGAAAACAACAACAACAATATCTGAGCTACTATTATGTTAAATTTCTTTTTCTGGTGGCTATCAAAGGTGTATTAGAAGTCAAACCACCCAAGGGGTAGCCTCTGTTTTGTATGAAACTGTGTTAAAATTTTACAAAATCCTTGGTAAAATCTGTCCTCCAGTGCCACAATTTCTGGGTACAGATACTGTCAGAATTCTTTAACTGATAATAATGTCCCTGCCCAGTTGTGCTAACTTCACATGAAAATTTTTATCTTATGTTATCACCATTTACACCATTGCAAAGATCTTGGGGAAGGATGCGCTCAGAAAGGGAAGTTTCTCTGCATGATTTTTTAAAATAATACCACCAAACCAACATGTATTCATGGAGGAAACAAGGAAGTGGCTCTAAATTTGGCATAAGTCAGGATAGTAGACAATAAGGGTAGGAGACAGACAAGGGGTGGAGGACCTGGTCCCAGATGTTCTAGCCTGCGTAGCAGGCTCTTGGAAGTAGTGGGCGCAGGAAAGAATGGGCACACACAAGGGAGACACACGAGGGGTGAGGGAACGCTCCCTCTCCCCTCGCATGTCTCCTTCTCCTGCGTCCACTTTTTCTTGCACCCACTACTTCCAAGTGCCTGCTATGCAGGCTACAGATGTTCAAACATTGGATAGCGCTATTCACCAGATAAATCACTATCCAGCAGATAAGTACTATGGAAATCAATTATGCTATCCACTGGATAGTGATTTATCCGGAGGATAGGGCTATCCAACCTTTGAACAACCGGGGCCTGATGAATATGGACTCTGAGTGGATTGGGGACAAGGGGTATATCCAAGGTACTTGGTCAAGGTTCTTGACCAAGTATTGTATTAAGCTGTTGCGGTTTCAGTTTCTTTTACTCTTAAAACTGGGATAGGTCACAAATCCTCTACAGTATCTCTACATCTAAACTTTACTAGCGTCAATGCCAGCCTTCCTCTCCAGAACCTTGGGGGGTGGGTGAGGGGAAGTGCGGAAATCAAAATTGGTTCTGTTCTTCTGTGCATATGGTTAACACAATACCAAAGCTTACCTAGATTCATATAAACACAACCACCCTCCTTTTTAGCTGTATTAAGTAAGCTTATACTCGGAAAGAGGATGGATATAGGATCCAATAGAGCTGGATAGAGCAATTAAACCTCGCACTACTCGCTATTAAACTTACGACACGATCTGATCGTGATCAATCATGAGATTACATTTCCTTCCTATCCCGACGAACACTCAGTAGAACTGCAACACAACTAGCGACACTTACCTAACTTCGTCTAACTTCGGTCTCGGCGATCTCTTCACTCTTCGTTTTTTATTTGGCTCTGTCTTGTCGTCGGCATTAGTTTGATCTCTGTCGCCATTTTGGTTGAATGGATCGTCATCTCGTTGAGGCGACAGAGGAGGTAAAGGTGGAGGAAGATTAAAAGGATCGTCGTCATCAAAAAGACCGAGTTCGTTTTCTACACCGTCGTCGGCAATATCGTTTTCGAATGTTATGGACATTTTAGTTTTCTCTTCTCGAACTCTGCCAACGTTCGTGTTTCGATCGCGTTCCTTTCCCGCCAAAATATTTAGTCCGCTGACCACGCTCAAGAGCGATTCGCTGTACATTTGTACGTCCGGTATGCGTGACGAATTCATTTTGTTCCTGTAAGAGAGCTTTTAAAGCAGCTAAGTTATCAGAAAGTTAGCCAGTGTAGCTAGCGGAATTGTTTCTGCGCGTGTCACAGGCTATCGGAAAGTTACCCAGAATCATTTAGATTTATCCAGCCTTCGAAGGACCCATGAAAAAAGGGAGAGTAATGAGATGATTCTGCACTGAGAGCAGGCAGGGTAAGATGATTCAAATCAGGAAACACCTGAAGGCTTAGCCCTTGGGGAAACAAAATATTCATAGAGGTGTCGTTGCCGGAGCGTATACAGAAATTTAACAGTCTACCCCTCAGTCTTTACCGCGAAAAACGTTTTCTACCAGGAGCCTGTTCTGCTGAATTGTTTTAACTTGTGAGCTAAAAGTACACTGAAAGTAGGAGTGGTCTTCATTTATCGTGAGCGGGACTATAAAGAGGAAGAATGGAAACAAAGTGTCACTTGACATAGGGCTGATATCTTTCACAAATGAGACCAGAAATGAAAGGGGATTGTCGGAATGGACAAGTCCAACCTATCCTACTGTTTTGTGCTGTTATCCTTTCTCAATTAAACTGCACTGAACAAGTCTGTCTTCATCAAGACACATTTCATCAAGAAACATGGCTCTAGTGTTACTACATATCTCGATGGTACCTAACCGAAACTGAATTTGCGCACACTAAGCATGACGTTTGTATGACACTTGACTCCAACAAAACACGGCAGATCACTGGATTGAGTTCTGCATGAAAAATTTTAGACGCCAGGATTGAGCACTACATAAAAAACTCAAAAGGCCTCTTGCTCCCTCGTCAAATTCGCGCCAAACGGTGAAAGTTTAGTTGTTTGACCACAAAGGGCACATTTTTTTATATGCGCTAACCCCATGACTTTATTTATAAGTGGTTTTTCGTGTTTGTGATTGTTAGGAGAAAGACTTGACATGCGTCAGACTTCTATTCTCGCCAGGCGATGTAAGCTGCAGCTAAAGCTAATGAACCAAAAGTGGTGGTGTTTTTCAAGTATTATATAATTGGTGATACAGGATAAAGCCTTATGCATGGTTGATGGCACAAAAATAGAATACAATTCATCGCTCAGGTTCAAGACTTCTAATTTATTTGCTATTTCCAAAAGAGGATGAGCTCTCTTGTTGATTTTTTTTATCTAGTGCTTAACTGTCTTGACCTCACACTCACGGTAAAGATCAGATGTCCTTTAGGACGGTTATCTCAATATACTTTATTCCTTCTTTTTCCTTAGCTTCATCGCCATAAATCTCCAAGAACAGGCCTTTGCGAGGATTCAGCTTGTTCTGGTAGATCATCTCTCTGCTGAAGCCTCCGTCCAACGGGACAAAACAGGTTCCCCACCGGTCAGACAGGCTCAACTGGATCTCAAATCGTCCGGGATAGTAGGACTCAGATGGTTTGGGGAGACAAGCATCTGAACGGCGACTCGTAGTTGGTCCACTGGCTCCCTCGGTGCCAAGACAAGGAGCGCAATTTTTGTAGTTATTCTTGTCAAGAGTAAGCACGCCAATAAAACGACTACCATCAGAAATGACAAATGAAGGATCGCTATCACTTGCACCAAATGTTGTTTCCAAGCCAACGTTCATCTTGATGAAAAGTTTGGCATTTGCAGAGGTGACTGCCGGCTGGATCAGGGGAACAATCATCAGGCGATATTGGTTTTTAGGAGCGCTGAGGAAGGTGAGAAGTCGGGGCGTGAGGGAATGGTGGTAATGGATGAAGGTAGCAGCACTTGCAAGTTTAATGGGAGTGAAGTACCGATAGAATAGGATCTAAGTAACGAAGGATAACGAACAATAATAATAAGTCAATTATACACCTACCCATGTATGCTAATTTCTACGAGAAACGGAAGCAGATTTTAAATTTTTGTCCGGATAGCAATAAAGCTTAAAGAATTGAAAAAAATCGTGAGTATTGGCGTTGCATGAAGATGGCAAATTATTTATATTTTTACTGGAGTAAAAAATGAAAGCGAAAATTTTAAAACTTAATAAATTCAGTTAATATTCGCGCGAGTTAAACCCTACAATATAAGCTAATATATTTAGTATATTCATTGTAATTATGTCCAATAAATCATCGAACATCAGCGATGAATGCTGCCGTGTTCTATTACATTAGACACTCTTTCTTGAAAAACTACAATGACTGTTTCGTTTCCTGTTCGAAAGATTCTAAAATCAATGTTCTGGCCAGCTCTTAGAAAAATATTAGTACTTGAATCACCTGTGAAGTACTTTTTTGTATTGTATTTTGATCCTTGAGATCGCGCCCCTTGGCCAAATACGTCGCGGCAACTAACACCAAGAAAAGGAGTTTGATCATGGTTATTTGTCTCAAAAAACTGGACGGAACTTGCTCTGATAATCTAATTTCTGACTCGAAGCCCTTGAACATCTAGTGAACGGTAACTCTGAGGCTGCCCTTGTTTAAATTGTATTCTTTGCAGGACACGTCATTGATTGCGGGGCTGCTTCACAGCAAACGGAATAATTTCAAGTTATAAAACATTGAGATCAAGATGATTATATTTCAGGCAAAGAAATAGCGCACTCTTGGGTCCACCTTTGTATTCACTCTGAATACGAGTTATTAACACAATAAATACATTTTTTACAAGTTTGCGTAGTTGCCTCGTCCTTTAGCAAAACTCTTCAAAACTAAACTGTTTTCCTTGTATTTTGTTTTGATGCCTTGCTCCAATCTGCATATTTGACCTGTTGACAGTAGTCCCCTTTATCTTAGCCTGCGAAAACATCCGCTCTTCGCCGCTGGGGACGTTTCGTCCCCAGCGGCGAAGAGGGAGGAGAAACGGATGTTTTCGTAGGCTACCTTTATCTTGAATATAAATAGTCCAGATAGTCTCGTGAACATTTGGGCCCTTCTTGTTAAATACCATCATGGGGCTCCCAACGACTGTTTTCTGTGAAATATCTGTTCGGAGAAGCAAATATTGCCTAGAATTTTCCATTATTTGACGACGGCTAAAAATTTCTAGATGACCGTTCACTCATGGAAAATTTTCGAAGCTTATCTAATAAATTCCCTATGATTTTGTGAAGTATATATGAAGTATAGTTGAACCTTCCACCGAGTCCCAAGTTAGGCTTTTTTTCGTAGCGAAAGGGAAACCTAAAATTTTCGGACTCAAAAATGCAATGGAGAGAGATATCAGAAAATGTCTCACTTTCGTAATACGTCAAATTGCATCTAAAATTTTCAGCAAAATAATACTGAAGCCCCTGTAATTTCGAAAAGACTCAAGTTCGCTTAGGATGACCGAACAGATACAAATTTTATAACGCCGCTTAGAATGCTTATCTAGACATCTAAACGGTACACTAAATAGCCTAAAATGTGTTATCAATGTATTAAGGAGGAAGGGTGCCCCTGATACCATGGACTCTTAGTAGTAGGTTTTTGTTAGTTATCGGCGGAAAGGAAAAAGTCCTGTTACAGGGGCACCCAACGGCAATTTTCGGGAAAATATCTGTTCGGAAGACGATTTGAGATCTAGAATTTTCGGAGCATTTGTTGTAAAATTTCTTGCTTGCCTGCCTCTCCTAGGATTTTCGAACATCTACAAAATGGTATAATTACCCATTTTTAACGAATTTTGACCCTAAAAAAAGGCCACCTAGAATTTTCGGGAGCCTAGTTCCTGGCTGAAATTTTCGAGAAGGTAAGTTTTTATCCCTATAATTTTCGGATCACTAGACTTTCAGCTAGGAAATCCGAACAGATGAAAAGTTTTTAGGGGATAAAAATATGCTTATATCTACCGTTTAAATACTAAAATACGTTTAACAATGCTATGTTTAAGTGGTTTTGAACTATATTCTCGTTGGGTGCCCCTGCTGTTATACTAGCTAGACTAGCTAGTTTAGCACATCAAATGATTTTATTCATTTTTACTCATTCCCAAGAAAACAGCAAGAAAGATAGCTAGAAGCAACTTACAAATTCGCGCCCCTTTCGAGTCAACACCAAATCCCACTGACTTTCAAAGGAGTAAGTATAGTTAATTACTATAAGCACAATATACGAATTCTTCAAAATTGATAGCCGGTCTTGTCTTCCAATATACCACTCGAAATCAACCACAATTTCGTATTTTAATTTTTCATTCCT